GTTAGTATCGACTCGATGATTTGTATCGACAAGATGTGCGAGAATAGAACTCAAGATCGATCTACTTTCACCTTTACTTAACCAGGCCGGTATGGGCTCACGTACCCTCTTTTTCAGGAACCTCGTTGTTCGGCCTATGTATCCTGCTCCACAGGAGCAAGTGAAAGAGTAAATACACATGGATGTGGCCTTCAACGGTAGTCGGTCTTTACCTCTCCCGAATCAAGCCTTTGGATTTTATTATCAAGCGACTGACGTTGAAGTAGTCTGTGAGCTCTTGTCTACAAACCGGCCTGAAGTGGCCAAGTTTGCATAAATTCTTTTAATAAAAACGTGCTCTGCCCTGCAGGTACTGGACTGATCCATAGCGCGCGGTCTGAACAAGACCCTATGCTGCAAAACAATTGAAGTTTTAACGTGTAGAAAAATCAATAATTGTCTGACGTGGGCGCCGATTGGCCACTGCGGACCCTGTCAGTCTACGCAAGTAGACGAGATCGGCGTGTTGGGTGAGCAACTGTCACTAGTGGGTGAGGGCGATGTGCCATCGTCATCTGGCGTTGACGTCGGCCACGGAAGGGAAAGGGCTTGTGTTAGCATTTCTGACAACACAGCGGTGGATTCGTTAGCCACATAGCCACTGCTTCGGCTGTTGCACGTACTCTCTTTTCCAGGCGCCTCGTTGTTCGGCCAATGTCTCCTGCTCCACAGGAGCAAGTGAAGGTGTAGATGCACATAGATGTGGTCTTCAACGGGAGTCGGTCTTTACCTCCTAATCGTAGGAGGGGAGAGTTCGTGAAGAGCACCCGTGAGTTCGCCGCGGGGAAAGCGCTTGCGATTGCGGTCCTTAGACGTCATCTGACCAGCTCGCTTGTTGCATTTCAGTTACGCATTTCAGTAGACGTAGTTATGTTTAGTTATGCGCCCCCCCCCACCAACACGAAATCGTTAGCATCCTGCGGTTACTTTTAGTTTTTTCCCTTTTACTTTAATTTAGTTTCTTATTAGTTAACTTTATGTTATAGGTTTATTCAGCTTAATTTTTAATGTTTGAATGTTTTCTTTTAAATTTTAAAGCGACATACAGTTGCTTTACGGCTTATTGTACTACAATATATGTCCAACTGCATTAGGACCTACTTTGAGTTTCAAAGGCATGGGGAAAACCTATCTTTCATGGTTTTTAATCTCTAACTCTCGATAGAGAGTTGATTTTGGTGTGTAGCCTATTTGCGGGTAATTTTGCACACTTGTTTTCTATTGGTTGTGTTTCTCGGTTGCTCGTAGCCTTCTCTTGAAGCGGATTGGACAGAACGTAGCCAATCTCAGCAGGATGCTATAACTATACAGTGGGAAGGATAAGGAATTGTAGGTTTTGAATACATTTTCTTCGTGGTCGATCGCATTTTTCTTCTTCACCGTCCTGGAATTTGGCATAACAGTGGAGCTGATATATGCTTCGTGTAAATTCCAAGTACGCATTGAAATAACTTTACTGAGCCGGTTTGTTCATCGGCAGTTCCAAAAAAAGTCTTGTCTTCGAAATGAACTGATTGAAAAGTGTTGAAAACACCTGTCTTCCGTAGACTTACTTATCCGGCTCGGTAGACATTTTCTTCGAAAAGTTATTGTTGATGAACCCTCGAAAAACTTAAATACTGTGATTGTTGTAATGACCCCCAGGTAGATGCAGTAATGATAGTAGAGCGCTCAACGACTTGATTAAGAAACATTTTCGTCCCCTTATGCTTTGGAGCACAATCTAGAGCCCTCGCAGGCAGTCGCATAGCAACTTGGGCAGGGATCTATAGAGGGGTACTCGGCAGGCCAACATGTACAATAACCGCTTACTTACAAATTTTAAGTAGGGTGAATTGTTGACAATCTTCATTTTTTGCGAGCCGGCCTTTGGTTCACTGGTTTTTGGTGATAATATTGAACTGCAGAAAGGTCCTCGGAAGGCCAACCTATACAATAACCGCTTAAGTCAGCTTATTAAGCAAACTGTCTTTTCAAATTAACCAAGGAATAACCGCCTACTTACAAATTTTAAGTAGAGTGAATTTCCACAATCTTCCAGCCCTTGTTCGCCGGCCGTTAATCCAGTTGTGGTTGAGGATACTGTTAAAAAATGTACCTCAGTGACCTCGCCTAAGGTCAGCAAATACCCCCCAACTTACACGCGTAACTTTCTTAATTTACATGATTATTGCTCACTGATTTGTCCCCACCCATTCTACCCCCTAAAACCAGTGGGGCGCGCTTCGCGAGCACTGCAGGGACCCCACGACAGATCCTTACTGCAACTTGTATCATATGATGGAGTGGAACCGACAAACATAAGGGAAACCGGAATGGCCATTTTTGGCTTATTAGCCGCCATCAACC